TTATCCAACATTCATATACAAATTATCCAACATTCATATACAAATTATCTACCGTTTGTACACAAATTATCTGCTATTCATGAATAAATTATCCATCATTCATATAAACATTATCCACCATTCATATACAAATTATCCAGCATTCAATACAAATTATCCACTATTCATATACAATTATCCATCATTCATATAAACATTATCTACCATTCACATAAAATCATCTGCCATTCATACAAAAAATTATCTACCATATATAATTATCCAACATTCAACAACAAATTAATCACAATTCCAATACAAATTAATTACCATTCGTACACAAATTATCCACCATTTATATACAAATAATGTATTATTCTTCAGATAAAATTATCTACCATTCATATAAAATTATCTACCATTCATGTAACATTATCGACCATTCATATAATATTATCCACCATTCATATAAAATTATCCACCATTCATAAACAAATTAATCACAATTCATATACAAATTAATTACCATTCGGACACAAATTATCCACCATTTATATACAAATAATCTATTATTCAAATACAAGTATCCAGCACCTTAATTATCGATTAAATTAGTCACCAATCATATGGAAATTATTGAACTATATACAATTAATCCTATAAACACAAATTATCCAACATCTACCACATATACATGTAACATTTTTTAGCAAACCGGTTGAATGGTGATGTGGACCAGACCAGAACTAATTTCCAAGTGTAAACCTGGCAAATTTCACGATCTCTAATAGAGAAACTAATAGTCACTATCCCATTAGACTATCAGGAGAATTGTCTTTGACATTTCCGAATCACCAGTAGAGACATGACAGTACAAATGATGTATAATGGTGCAGGAATAGATAAGAGAGATCTCAGCCAATCTCACAATTATAAAAAACTAAAACAACACAAATGAGCATTTTATAAAAATGTGAAGAATAATAGCTTTATACCCGGTAATAGATTTAGGATATTGCAGACAAATTAGATGGCATGCCAAGATAAAAAGCAGAGATAAAACTTTGATACATGGATAGCAGAAGGTAATAATAAAAGCAACAAATATGTCAGGTTTTGTTTCTCATTTTAGGAAGGCTTGACAAATGATATCATGATGTAGTTTAAATTTTTTGTATTACCGGTACAATTAATTAACCTATAAACATGAAAATATATGTTCAATATTTAAGGTATAATATTTCAAATACTATAAAATACTTTATTTTTGCTAGAATTAATTTTTGCTGAAACAACTTTTTGAGCGCTTTGTGATGGGGTTTATTTTCACCGAACTGTGATGAGATGAATGTAAAATATAGGAAAAAAGGTAGATTCGCTGGATTCAGCAAAAATGAATTACAAGCAAAAATTAAGTATTTGATACTAGTACATGATATAAAGGTTGATGTAGATTGATAAAACATCCTCTAAAATAAGTATTTTTCCATTCTACCGCAAAGGACACTTAACCAGTGTGTAAAATTGCAAAAAGATTACTGCTGACACATACAATGATAATAACGAGAGGCAACATTTATTTTTCTCGTTCAATTTTTCAAAATTACCGGTAGTCTGGATACTAATTTACATACCAAATTACTATAAATTAAATTTGTGTTATCTTTAGTTTTTATAGAGAGAAAAAGCAATGGAAATCACAAGGAATTATTGAATTCTCCTGACATTTTGAAAAATTATTTTATTTTTGGCTTCTTTTAAGGGATGTATAAATTTCATAAATTACTAGGTTATCAAATATCTAGTTATCATGAAAATTCTTGTAATTTTATCCATAATTTCATTTAGTGTCAGATGGTTATGAGAAAAATGAGACTTCATCATGATATTTTGGAACAGTCAGATGATATCTACATACTACAATGGCTTCTACAATATTCCCTTGTTGAACAAACTGACCCAAATGAGCAAATGAATGTAAAAAAAAATAAAAAAAAAATAAACAAACAAATAAATAAGCAAACAAACAAATAAATAAATAAATAAATTAATAAATTAATTAATTAATAAATAAATAAATAAATAAATAAATAAATAAATAAATAAATAAATAAATAAATAAATAAATACCTTTCGTGGAGGCTAGGTCTTGGGACATGGAATCTCTCCTTATTAATAGAAACAAGTACAGTACCACCTCCAAAATAAGTCTTTTTTAAGAGATGTGCCACATCATTACGCACTATCAAAGCACCAAGGCCGGTCGGTAAACCAAACATTTTATAGAACGATATTGTTACAAAATCAGCACGGCATGATGACAAGTCTAAGAACGCAGTAGTCACATGTGAAGCTGCATCCAAAGCGACATACCATTTACCATGGTAACAGTTACCTGGTTGAAATTGTTGAGATTTTACTGAATCTGCCCATTCCAATGGATTTCTTCTACCAGAGAAGTTACATTGGGCAGCGTATGCGAATAGACAGTTTGCTGTTTTAGGTGTGGATGGTAGGGACCTTAACTGGATAGAAGAAGTAAACTCCTCCAATGAAAGACACAAAATTTGTGCACCATTCTCAGCAGCAATTTCTCTCATTCCAACAACAGATGTATGATTGTCTTCAAGGTAACAGAAATAACTGGAGTCAATTGCAACACCATTTCCACCATACCAATCAAATGATTCCGCTAATAGCTTAAGTGAAGCTGTACAACCAGATGTGAAAATGACAGTATGGTTTTCTGGTGTGGTATTGAAATGTTTAAGCACCCTAAAAAAAGAAAAATATTTAAGTTTTGAAGATTTGACTTTCCAACAGGATGAGGCCTGGATATGTACAATATATAATATACACTGAATCAAGTGGTTGAATGACTTTGATAATACTGTCAGTAGTTTTCAGTTTAGGGAATTGAAGAAACTTTTAGAAATGTATCAATGATTTATAGAAATTTATTAAAGCACTACAGTCTGCATCACATTCACAGTGTGTTCGCCTCAATACATGTACTAACATGTAGCCAAATTAGAATAGTTTTCAACATTACTTAGATTATTACAATATAGCAAAAAGATTCAAAAGATCAAATTCACAACACAAACTGTGCCTGTAAACCTAGTAGTACAGAGTAATAACCAATGAACCTATATCTGATAAGTCTTAGTACAGTGGCCCCTCGCTAAGTCGCGGGTGTTGGGATCCAAGCAAAAACCGCGACTTATCGAGGGCCGCGACTTACCGAGGGACCTCGTGAAAGAGGGAGGTCGTGCATTGAAAAACATATAAAAAGCACATATAAACCCTCGGTTTAGTTAATTGATGTATCATCACATGTGTCAGGCAGTATTCGAATAAAATCATGATTATGTTTGCTGTAAACATTGCGTTGATTATTTTGTTTGTGTCTGATATTATGTGGGCCGCTTGCTGTTGCTTGCGACTTCGACGGTAACAGCTTCCAAAATAAACCAGTTTCATCGCAATTATAAACATGTTCGTCAAAATAACCACCTTCATAGATAATTTCTCTCAGTTTTTCGGGAAAAGTTCCGACAGCGTCAATGTTCCCAGATCGAGCTTCGCCTTGGATTGAGACTGCGTGTGTCGATAG